CCGTCGGCGAAATGTGACTCATTTGGAAGTTTAATCAAGATTGGAAGACTGCTCGCGAAACACTGTTATGGGTTCGACTTAATTGAAGCAATGTTTCAAAAGTTATGGTTCCATGAGAACCGCCAAATTGCCTTCGGAGCCGTGCCGATCAGCCAAAAACTGTTGGCTGAAATGTAGTTAATTCAATTTGTTGTGTACATTAAGATCGCATTTTTTTTACTGCTGTCAATTGATGCTTACTTAGCCTTGGAGGGATACACACACACACATGTATTACCTGCATGTGGCCAATGAAACGTTGCTTGCATTAAGTACCTGTGATAAATTTGTGCACATATGTCAAAGAGCGTATTAGAATGCCTTTCGTTACCGTAATAGATTTACAAAATGGTGCAGCTTATAGCCTGCCACAATTTACAACAGCAAAATGCTTCGGTAAGGATTTTTTTTAAATATATATCGAACGGTACCAAATGAAATGTAATGGTTGTTGCCTGTGGTCAGTAATGATGGTTACACGTCAATTATATTTTATAGGGAAAGGTATCTAAAATAAATTGGTGTTGTTTATTCCCATGATGTTTACTGACACATGAAAGCACAAAACATTGCCTGGTTATTGGAATTATTTGGGCTCGAATGAGACTGAGAATGAGGAGGCTAATTTTGGGATTACTAATATATTCCTTGTTTATTTGTTCATTCACCCAATTTCATCCTGCATATAACAATATTGAATGTTAAGTGCAATTCCTTTCTTAAATTAGTATGACATATGAATACAAAAATACTGTAAAAGAATATGAGCAGCAGAGTTTATTTTTACATTAAAAAAGGCATAAAATCATATTCAATAAACTACTACAGTCCATGCTGTCAATCATAATACGCACATTAAAATTAGACCAATGTATTATTGCTTTACACGTTATTACGATGTTTAATATGCAACAATAATTATGTTTTACATATGTATAGATCCATGCTTTGTGACATGATCTCATTATTCTTTGGTTCGTGTGAGAATAGAATATATTCATATTCCTTAAGTCACCACAGGCAACTGGGCTTCATTTGTATTTAATATATAGAATTAGCTGCTTCGCCTTGTGATGGTTGTTTTTCTTCTTCTCCAGCACTGGGGCAGATGGTGTGTGTGTGTGTTATTTGATTAAGCATTTTTGAATATGACTCGAGGATGCGCTTTCGCTTCACCGGGGAGAGTGTCACAGGGGCCCCGCTGATAATGAAGCGGGCACTACTCGGTTTCATGCCTAGGCACACCTGGCTGCCTCTCAGCCTGGCGCTCTGCCTCCAGGCCTCCGCTGTGAAGTGACCCAGAGGGGGACACCATCCGGTGCCTAAAAGAGCGGTCGACCCTGCTGTGGCTACGATCACAGAGTGTAGGATTGAGATGTCCTGGGTGGTAATCTTTTTTTTATTTAATGTTATTTTCAGCACCAACGTTTTAACTGGCCGGGTGGCGCCAGTGATAGAGGGCACAGCTTGCAATAAATAGCAAGGTGGCAAGTTCATATCCTGGCCGGGGGTAAACTTAGGTCCTTATCCCTCTGCGGTTTATAAAATGAGTGCTGCTTTGTGTGGAATTTAGCAGTGTCTTGTGATATGGGGAGGCTAGCATTTCCCATAGTTGTGTGGCATATCTACCGCTGGTTTAGGGCTGTAAACAAGTAAAAGCATTGCTCCATTCTCAATGGAGTGAGTAACCACTTTTATCTTCTTACCCTTTTAAATACGTGTAATACATGAAGATGTTTAAGGATTTTCACAACAGGGATAATGTTGTTAAAAGCAAATGTATACCTGGTGGTCGTGAATCTTCCATTTGGGCAGGAATTAAGAGAACCAAAATTCATTTGATCATTCTCTATCATTGTATTTTATACACTCTTGCATGAAACCCCATATTGCTTTTGTTTAATTTAATTTATTTGTATGGAAATATTTGTCACCCTAACATTTAAAATGCTTTCTGAAAACAGTGCTGCATTAATCATGGCTGTCAAATAGTGAAACTCACAAGAGCCTCAGGTTACAACTCAACAATGCATCTAGACATGACCAAAATTGCAGTTTAGGCAGCCAGAACAAGGAGACATCTTGTATGAGTTGCAGTGGCCCAGTAAGACCATGATGTCTTGTTGATTGACACATAAGCTGCTTTTCTCAGTGTCGGACACGCACGTACTGGCAGATATAGCAATCTTTAAACACTCTAGTTGTCTTGATGGCCATAGCAGTTACCCCTGCGTGTTCTCTAAAATCCATAAAGTACCATCCTCAAAGACACCCAAATGTCAAATTGCTTACCCTGGCCTTACGTATTTTACAGAATGATATTTTGCCTCCAATGTCAATTGGCCTCTATTAGTTGTCGTTTTTCATTGGCGTACCTTGGGACCTTGCGGACCCCCCGCAGACTGATTAGCTTTTCACGCAGCTATAGGGGGTCTACAATCACAGGGTTGTGAACCGCTGCCCTAGGACTACGTGACCGGAATTTAAATTCGGATGTGAGCGCTGCCCGGTGGTCCTGCACTCTGCTTAATTCAGGTCACATTTGAGGTATTGCATGCGTACAGCAGACGATCTGTTCACAGAGCGAAATTCGGGCCCATTGCTCCAAGATTGCTCAATCTGAAAAGTACAAAGGCATCTATCATGAGTGTCACTTTTACAATTATCCCTGAGCGCCGTGCGCTCCCGCAGTTGTGTGCCACCTGACAACGGAAGCTCAGTGTCTATCAATAGGGCTATAACTTCCACAGATAGGCATGCGTGCAGCACGGCACGCTTATCTGTACAACAAGAGGGGATAAAATTTGATCCTATGCTACAGAAAAAAAACCACAAGAGCTGATAATCTTCCTTAGACAGCACACACAACTTGTTTTCTGGGCCAGTTCATGTGTGGATTTTAAAATAAATGTTTGCGCAAGACACGGATGGAAAGTTGTTCAACTCACTCGGCTTGGTTCAAAGTTGCCCTTAGGCGCAAGTGACAGATGGATTGGAAAGCCCACTGAGAATTTCATTTGAAAAAAAAATCTGTAATTTCACACTTCATTCAGCACAAATGGTTATGTCTGAAGTAAGAACCCAAGAAGAGAGGGATTCATGTGCTAAATGAATCAAGGGGATTGTAAAGACATGGAATTGTTCCTTGAAGTCTCTTCACGTCTACAAATAGATTTATTCTAAAAGGTGCGTTTATGTTATGTATTTTTACAGCTCACCGGTGCATACAGAGAAGAGTGGAGCACTGCTTGGTCCATCTGCAGTCTTACTTAATGGGAAATTGTTATTATGGGAATTTTTTTTTAACAAGAAACAACATCAACCAAAGTTGATGCGCTTTTCCTGCACATTGCATAATACCTTCAAATAACTCAGATACTCCCAGGGGCCTTTTGTGGGAACAATGATACTTAGAAAGTCTTTGCATTGGCCAAGCTCACAGTGCAATGCAAAGACTTCTGGGCAAAGTTATGAGGGGCTGTCATAAAGTTTGGGGAAACGTGACATTAAAAGTATGCCTATTACTTCATTGCTCAATGTATCGTGGAAACACTTCATGTCAGCAGAACTTCAAATCGGCTCACATTGAAGATATTTTAGCACCAACACTGCACTCTTCAAAAAGATTTCACTGCACTTGAGAGCTGCGTTTCTCAACCCCCATCCTCGCAACCCCCCCCCCCCCCACGCCGCCCCATATTACCAGCTATCATGTGCATGCAATATGCATGTATGTACACTGCAGACCTTTGTCAATCCACTGCTGGATGAGGGCCTCTCCAAGCCTTGCTGATCGTGGGGGTTATTTAAACAAACTTTGCCCTCTGCTGTCCATCAAGCAGACCCGCAATTTATAGTCTCAGGTGATTGCTCATCCAAGAACTATCCATCCTCAACTCTGTTTAGCGTCCTAGATTTGACAAGATCAAGTGCATCCTGGAATGATTTGGTCATAAGCAGCTTGATTGAATTTAAGGATGGATGTAAAAAGATTGGTAGTCATGGTTAGTAGCGAGGACTGGAGTTGGGAAACGCTGTGTTAGAGTGCATTTCAGAGATGAATCTGTCAATGTTCATGCTTAAAGGAGTGTCTATTGACACCTATGGTGTGTGTCCGTCAGTTCTTCTTGCATATGGCTGCATGAATAGCAAGTTATTAGTCTATGCCCAGTCTAGTCATCCAGCAAATGGCTTTGGTTGATGTGCGGTGGATGCTTCGATGGCTCCATTGATATATTGGAAGTTTTCAGTGGATCACTGCTGTGTGGCCAATTGCATGCCGGGCTTTCATTGCATTTCCAACTTGTGAAGGTAGTCTGTGGATCTGCCATGGAAGGTGCAGATTCCAATTACATATGGTCCATTCTAGTTCAAATCCAAGATATTCTTCCCTGGGAGCCATCAGTTGAGCAAAAAGGGCCTAGGTTCCATTCCCAACTTGGGCGTCTTTCAGAGTGGAGTTTTCATGCTTTTTCTCCATGTTCTGCAGGTTTTTTCTCAGAGCTAAAACAAACCTTACAATATCACTTGTATTGCTGAAAATGTGCCTGCCTCAATTTGGATAAAATTTGGTATTGAAAAATCGTCAAAAATCGATGGACTTGAGCAATTTGTACTGATATACATTATTTATTCTTTGTATTTGTTTTAGTCACTTGCTTAGCTTTCCTATACTTTGCACTCCTATCGGTTTTGTATTGTTTGTTGTTGTAACTTTCTGACCTGCCCCTTACCGGAGTATTGAGGCTCGGTGAGGCTATCCTGGATAAACAATGACAATAATCAGTGACAGCAGCCATACCCACCATCACCACTGACAGCCACATCCACCCATGGTCCCTTACCTTCCACCATCACCACTGACAGCCACATCCACCCATGGGCCCTTACCTTGTACCATCACCACTGAAAGCCACATCCACCCGTGCAATGCCCCGTTTTGTGGTGCGTGTGGTGCCCAGGTGTACACCCGCTATGGGAAGTGCTATACGTTCAACTCGGGCAAGGGCGGGCGGCCGCTGCTGACAACGGTGAAAGGCGGCATGGGGAACGGCCTGGAGATCATGCTGGACATCCAGCAGGAAGAGTACCTTCCTGTGTGGGGCGAAAACGGTCAGTGCCAGCCACTGTTTTCACAACCGTCCCTCCTCACGCACCACACGCATCGAACCAGGCTGACGCACCACATTTTTGCACGGTTGGCTGTGTACGGTGTGAAAAAAGTTAATCGTACATACATTTACATCTTACAACTTTGACTGCAATACTGTTAGTACAAGACTTTAAAGCCAGTGGTGTAGATATCAAGTGTGCAGGCGGTGAAAATGCACCAGGGGCCCAGGCACTGAGCTACAAAGAGGGGGTCAATTGTACAGGGGGTCTCAATGTATTCCTTCTACCAGGTCTACCCCCGAGAGTCTGAAATTCACTCACCAATCTTCTGTCCCTGTTTAAGGCCGTGCTCAAGACCTTCCTCCTTCTCCTGTGCCTATCGCTGGCCGTCTTTTCTCCATGACATTTTTTTCTTAGCTTCTTATGTAGCGTATAGACATTCGTCATTGACGTCTTTTCAGTAGTCCCCCAAGAATAAGCATGTACCACATATTCTGTACAGCATCTTGAGATGCAAATGCATTCATATAATTAACAAATCCAAATTTCTATTGTGATTCATATTTATCTCCCCCTTTTTAGTGAGAATGCATCTTCTCACTTGCTGTCACATCTATCACAATTACTCCCCTCCACCCTCACCCCATACCTCTCTCGCTTCCTTTCCTCACATTCTGCCCTTCTCACTTCATTAACAAACACACATCGCGCAAACACAAACACAGTGATCTTTATTTAGTCTTAAAGACACACAAAGACAAATATTCCTAACCTTATAGATTGCTAGAGCAAATGCTACAGTGCATGGAGAGGAAATGTGATGAGCACCAAACTTAGCCGCCTTTGTTTCACCACTGCTGATTGTTCACATTCTGTAGCAAGTACTTATTTAAAGCTGAGTTGAATTAAAGGAGGTTTAGGACAGTTTCAGATACCACTTGTCACTTACATTAGCCACGACTGGGGTTCAAATTCAGGTGACCTGTTGTGCAGCGCATGGCAGATATACCACTGCACCACCGATCCAAGCGCATACATTGGATATACACCTCACTGCTGTTATTTACAGACCTTTATCAATCTACTGTGACATACTTTACCATTCTGGTCAGTGTTAGTAGAGTCGGGGGGGGGGGGGCAGGTTTAACTATCACTCGCCACTACTACAGTTAGCCGTGTCCAGGGTTAAAAGAATATCTCAGGTTGACGGGTTGATAGTACTGTGCAATGTCCTCTATGCCACCACTCTGCTCACTGTTACAAGTACAAACTGGAAAATACCAAAATAATAATTGTGAACTGCTATTTCCCAATGACATTTCAACACGAATGCTGATAGCGAAGTAAGTTTTTCTTTTAATTTGGCGCATTATTACTTGCATGGATTTTTTGTTGATGTCCACGACTTACCCTTTTCAAAGCATCTTAATAACACGAAACACCTAAAAGCCAGCATTTATTAGCATTACTGTGATGCTGCTAAATGTTCTTAATGCACAGTTTTTCTTTTATTGTCGTGGGTTTGCATGCTTTTTGTCTGTCCATGTGGTAATTACGCTCAGGCTAAGGCGAAAATTGGGACTTCAATGGAAATTAGACATATCTCAGCCATGCCTGCTAACTAAACCATCGAAAACGAGTCCAAAACTGAAAAGGATATTCTTTTTTGTGCTGCACAATTCATTTAAAAGCAACATTTTATTATTCCAGTACAGATGCAGGCATATTTATTTATACTGTGTGCATTGAGTTTCTGAACACATAATACGAAAATAAGCAACTGTGAAATGTAAATTAGTTTTGTGTGCGCACAACCATCAAATTTTATTCAATTCTAAGCAAGATTTTTGAAGGAACTAAGCCCTGAGTAACAACCTCTGAATTTTTCAATCGCTCGTGGCATTTTGTGTCGCGATTAGGTGTGCGCATGGGGTGGCAAATGGCTTTGCCTCTCTCCGGAGATATAAGAAACACTCCCAGCACTCTGCATCAATGCTTCCTCATGTCGCCACCACAACAGGCATTACTGGTGCGGAATGTTCTTGCAATTAGCCGACGGTCATGCCACGCTTTGCAGCAGTAGGGGGGACAGATTTGTGGGTGCCTTGCACCACGGCTCCAGCTTAGATTTTCTGTCGGAACAGTTGGTCCGCAGAACGATTAATTTGATCAGTAACAGCCCAAGGTTATTTCCGTTACTTGCTGAAGCATTTTGAGCTTTTTAAAAAAAAAAGATTGCTCAGTTATAATACCTTTAGATTTTAATATTTTTATGTTTTTGTGCAGTTTCATCTGAATTTATATGAAGCCATGGGCTCTGTTAAAAGTGGAATGGGGCCCCTCACACTTGAAATCGGTGCGTGCTGGGTCACGTGTTCAAGTGAACCCCCTTGCGATGGGAAACGCACCCAGTTTTCTCTCTTAGAAGAGTTGCACCACTCAACATTTTTTTTTAAGAACTAAGAAACCGCGAGGTCAAGGGTATTCACACAGCTCCACCAATAATCCCGGCTCAAGAACATAATACCACAGCACCGCCACATTATTCCTATTTAAATAGCTATTCATGTTCAATTTTAATTTCATTGCCATGATTATTTTCACGTTATTTTTGTAATCAGTGTATGGCGTTAAGTGTCTCTCAATTGTATGTATGTTTTGTGCTATTTCTCATATATTTAAAAAATATTTGTGAACATAAAGAGACCCGAAAGAACGTTATGTCATGCAGTCAGCGACTCTTGTTCCATAAGCTTCTAGAGAATGTAGCTCCAATGCGCTTCTTTTTGTGGAGTATCTGCCTTGTCCAGTTCTTACGTCAGAAGCCAATCAGGGGGTTGCTTCCTACAACAGGGCACGTGCTTTTTTATTGCACGGTATAAATGCAATGTACAATTTGGATTTATATCGTGTCTAGATGCAAGCACATCTTACGGCACTGTACAGAACGAGCAGATTTATTTTTATTGACAGGAAGTTATAGTCATAGGCAGAGGTAAAAAAATAAAGGTATTGAGCCTGGACTTGAAATAGGGGCAAGGGGGTCAGGATGGACAGCTGCGAAAAAATATATTTCCAGACTCTGAAGGCAGCAAAGGTTTATTAGGGGCTTCAACAACAAACCGTTTTCGTTGCTAGAGAGTGCGTGCAGGAGTTTATGAAAGATCTCGAAGATGATGAGATGAAGAGGCTTATTTAAGCGTCTCCAGAAATTTCTGTTTTGCAACACCGTTTATTGCTTTAGATAACATCAGCACCCAATGTCAACGTGCAGTTGTAGTTTTCGAAATAATTTCTCGTGAAAGGGCATTTCAGTGTTGATGAACGTACATACACAGCACAAAGCCTCACGGACAAAAGTTATTTTACATGGTGCCTAAATCTCCCATAATTACTCCCATGAAGCCATGGGGACTCTAGCATAGGTGTAAATATCACAAACAAACCAGCGTGTATTGTACCCTCTTTTGGCACAAAGCTCACTTCCTGCAGCAATCACCTGGTGGTTATCTGTGTGGCCCCAACTCAAGCCTGCTCATGGCCTCCCACCTGAAAAGGTTCATCATCTTACCCTTGTAAAAACAACCACCAGTACCAGCACACGCATCTGTCCTGATCCCACCAAGCAGCTACAGGCCTGAAGGGGACACAATAACACCATGGCTCATTGGATTTCTTAATTATACCCATACCAGCGCGATGGCCATGTCGTGCGGAGGAAAGGGTCATAATGTTGTAAATGGCATTTCTGCAATAGAGTCAATGATTTATTTGGATTTTCATAGCAACGTTGGACTAAAACATCTGATTAATGGGCCCAATTACCCTGGTCGTCTTGGGGAAAAAATGTGCGCTCGTAAATCAGAGGCAATTTGTGAAGTAAAAAAAAACATTACAGTGTTTACATTGTTTTCATGTCTAAAATGACACATTAGTGCAGACGTTTAGTAAACACGTTTATAAAATGGGAGTAACTCACATTGGGTGGTATTTGTTTGATTTATACGTATCTTAATTTGAGAATTTAATTGACGTGTTTAGAGGTTTTACCAGGGCTGTCGGCCTGTAGGGTCTTAGAAAGCAACCGTTTCCAATTGGGGTTTCCCCTGAATAAGTGAAATGGTTTTGCATGAATATCTTAAGTTTGCCCGAAGCCTTGGTGATTATCGCTTTAGGCTAGCAGGGGAGAGCAGCTGCCAATCATACACACCTGTGCCTGATTGTCCAAATATTATCATTCTAATGCTTCGAGAGATGTGATTTTTTCCTTTCTGCAATAGTTTTTAGATATTTACCTCAAAACAATCTAATGTGCTAGCACACTATCAAGCTTTCGCATGTGTTCCTGACTGCGGTTCTTGGAGCCTTTGGGTTTCTCTTTGAGAGAAAACTAAAACAGTCAAAACGTCGTGATTTTTGTTGTTTTATTTTTTACCTACGTGACTTTGCCGAATGGAACCAAAGAGTATAGTCAAAACATATATTTAGAAATATCCACCAAGTGACAAAAAACAATCAATGAAGGCTCTGTGTTCTTCTCTGCTGTTCCTGGACTTGTGCCTATCAAGTAATCATCTATTGACACTGAACTACTGAGGGATAAATGTGCAGGCTAGGGCAAGGCATGTGAACTGAAGGGATGCTAGCCAGTGGTCGAGGAGAGTGACAGTGGAAGCTATAGGAGGAAACGCTGCCGAGAGGTCATCTGCCTTGGAAATGGAGCAATGAAATCAACTCGTGTGCTGTTTTTGAGAGATGGTTTGAGTGTCTTGAACAAACTAATAATATTGTTGAAGTGAAATATTGAGGTAATATTAAGTTCATTTTGAGGTAGATATATTGGTGCGTGGTCTGTTTTGAGTAATATGCACGTATCAGGGTACATTAGAAAAACATATATATTAGTCAAGCAACGACCTTAATTTGATCTCCCCTCTATTAAAATTAATTTTATTACATTTTTACTTAAAACTTTCGTGACTGCAGGAATTCAAATTCTTTGGTTATTTCGGTAAAGTCACGTAGATAGAAGAAAAATAATAATTACAAATAAAGTGAATAAAAAAAATAAACACTAATGTAGACTGTAGCCTGGTTCTTAATCGGAGTGAGTGTACTGGCAATCTATAATGTAGACTGTAGCCTGGTTATTAAGTTTGGTGAGTGTACTGGCAATCTATAATGTAGACTGTAGCCTGGTTATTAAGTTTGGTGAGTGTACTGGTAGTCTATAATGTAGACTGTAGCCTGGTTATTAAGTTTGGTGAGTGTACTGGTAGTCTATAATGTAGACTGTAGCCTGGTTCGTAACCTCAGTGAGCGTACTGGCAGTCTTTCATATAGACTTATTATTGGTTCTTTCAGTAATACAAATAAAAACCACGACGTTTCGATCGCAACACAAGCGGGCATCATCAGGAATGGGCGTAGCCCAAGTGTGTCAGCAGAATGCCGGGGCAGCTTATGTTAATGTAGGAGACACAAACAACTACACAAATCAAAGGGCCGCCAGGCAATCATTGCACCTCGCTTCACACACCCACGCGGCTGACGGTGGAGGTTGACAAGAAAACGCAAATCAAGTCATGACCCAAAGTGGTTGATGACATCTATCCAATGATTGCTGAGTTTATAACCATCCTTTTGGGTGAAATTGTGTCTGTGTCTGTATATATGGATGGCTTCATGAATGAATCTTTGTTCATAGCCAGTAGGCTTTCAAAGTACCATCGTCTTAGAGAAATAAATTTCGTGTGAGCCAGCCACATTAAAATAATGATCAGCCACGGCAGACGTATTGGTCATACCGTGTTTCAAATCTGCCTTATGCTCATGAACAAGACATGTCGTTTAGTTTCCCAAATGTAACTGCTACCGCAGATACAGCTTAGTTTGTAGACGCTGGGATATTGCATGTCAGGAATCTTGTCCTTCACAGATGGGATCAGATCACAAATTGTATGTACTGTGTTAAATCGGACCTGGATCTTGTGTTTGTTCATGATTTTGGAAATATTTTTGGTTACCTCTGTTATGCATGGCAAGGTGATGGTTTTGATTGCATCCTCAGATGGCTCCTTCCTCACGGTTGGGGTGATGGCTTTGCGGATTGTGTAGTCAGAATGTCCACTCGCATTGAGAGCTTGGTGTACGTGTTTGGGTTCACTGGTTAGGTGTTCATGGTCGGAGATACATTGAGATACATTGAGCTCTATGGTGTATCGTTTTGATGAGGGAATTCTTCTGGGATGGATGGTGGTGGGAATCAGGTTTTAGGTAGGCGTCAGTATGGGTTATTGTTTTTATTATTTTTAGTTTATTTTTATTATTTTGATTCACTTTCTTTTTTATTATAATTTTGCTATCTACGTGACTTTACCGAAAGAACCAAAAAATATTAATTTTATTCTATTCTATTTCGGATTGATATTCTATTATATTTCCAATCTCGTGCTGCAGAGAGAAATGCGCAGAGATATGTACGACCATTTTAATAAGCGCTTTCATAGAGCCCAGCGGTACTGTTCGTCTTTAAGACTACCTATTAACGCACACCCTTGATCTGTAGATTGCATTTGAATTGGTATTTTAAGCTTAAAGTTGTTATTTTATCACAGGTGCAAGAATTTTTTAAAAGTCAATTCAGGAAACTTCACGTGGTTTAATTTCAGTATGTGTAAGAAATTATACCTATCAAAAAGTGACATTTGCATGGAATGAGACAGTACCAGTAGATAATTATCTGATGTGCCTTCGGGTTGTACCTTGTATTTTTGGCGGCGTGATGTCTGACGTTTTGCTCGTTCTGGAACTGAACTGAGTTTTGGTGCAAGTGCTGTTTGTTCAGGAACTGAAATTAGTTTTCTGAAGAAAGCTCACATCATGTGGAGCGAAACACGAACATGGTGCCAAACAACACAGAGGTAGAAACCAGAAAACACATCAGGGAGCTGTACAACACAACCGCAGAAACCCACGCAGCTGTGATACCAGTGGATTCTAACATTGCCTTTGGACAGCAGTCTTTTCATATATACCCCGAGTCTCTTGATACCCTGGCAGGGCCATATTGCTGTGTTATGCATTGTGTTATTAAGCCATCGGGGACTTTTGACATGTTGCTGTTGCTGCAGACGAGACTTCGTTTGAGGCCGGGATTAAGGTGCAGATCCACAGCCAGGACGAGCCTCCGCTCATCGACCAACTGGGCTTTGGCGTCTCGCCAGGCTTCCAGACGTTCGTGTCGTGCCAAGAGCAGCGGGTGAGTTCGGTGCGACGGCGACAAGTGCCAGGAATGCAAAAGCCCCCCCGATTGAACGCATCGACCACACAACCCGGGCACACGCTCGGACATATGTGCGCAAAGTACGTGCGGAGAGCTACGCGTGGGCACAAATCGCGCCATGCTTACGCAACTCACGATCACAAACACACACACGCGAGCTACACAAGCACACGTTGACAATGTACGCTCGCAACCACGCGCGCGCCTTCACACGTGCTCACAGCCGCAATCCAATACGTATCCTGTAATGTTTTTTTTTTTACACACAGCACATGACCTGTGTGTGTGTGTGTTCTGCAAATATTACCGTGGTGATGCGACTGACGCGTAAGCCTCAGAGGTCTTTCTGCAGGGAACACTTGCTTAGACGCCCTGTGTGTGTAACTAAGGGAAGTAATAAAATAGCCACTCCAGGGGCTACTCATGTAATCCAGGCAGAGGTGCCATCACGTGGATATAACGCGGCCCAACGTCATTCATTACAGTATTCGACAAGGCCGGGGCTAAATAAAGAGAAGGGAGAGAAGCACATTCATCAGGATCCCCTGCTGGGCCACATCCTTCTTGATACACTCTTTAGGATCTGCCAATGGCAGCACAGTCCTCAGACACAAACGCTGGGGTATTGTCTGCATATAACTCTCAGCTCCTCGTGGCCACTTAGAATTGGCCCGTGAACATGCCCAATATAGGTGTAACGTTGCATTGATTAAAATGTATTATCGACTCTTAATACTACTACGACTACAGTAAGTAGGCATTCTTGCTTTGCGATGTTTAGCTGTCTGAAACGTTATGGGGTTTTGAAGTACATGACATGAAACCACATCAGAGAGATATCGATATTTTAAGCTCTCCATACTTGCTTCAAATTGAGTGTTTTTTTAATTCCTTTATGTTGTTTGTACATGACGCTTCCAGCCACTGAAGTCCATTACAATTAAGCACATACTTAATTTGTTATATATATGCTTATATCAAGACAATTAATTTAAGAACTAGGTGGTTTAATTGCTATACCCCCCAACGCTTACATTAACAATACTAAACCGGAAATATTTTGATGATGCAGAAATAAGTTATGATGTGTACTTGTTGCCAGTACTCTGGCAAATATTTGTTGGCTCAGAAGAGCAGTGGATAATTTATACTGTTGAGGCAAAGACCCCACTTCATATAGATGTCTTCATTGGGCATTAACTTTACCATTTGTGTGTAAGTCGGACATTAAACCAGGGAAATACTAATAAGCCACATTATCCAAATGTTAAGGTTACTGTATATTTGTATGGGTGTAATGATTGTATTTAAAGCACCATTCAATTTACTGATGATGTACAGTAATGCCATATGATGATGATGATAATATATTACAATAGTATATTATTATAACGTGTCAATCCACTGCTGGATGAAGGCCTCCTCACGCCATGTCGAACATGAGGGTTGGTTGACCAAACTTCACCGCACTGGTCAGGACGTGTTGGAGAAGGGGAGAGAGGGCCAGAAATTGTTCAGATATCACACGGCATCGATGTTAGCCTTGGCTGAGAATTTAATTCAGGTTCGTTGGATTCATAAAGCAGTGCAACACTGCATCACAATATTAGTACAGGGACTCCTCCACTTATGAACATTCGACTTCCGAACTTTCAGAGATATAAACACACCTGTCCGTATGTCTAGTTGCCTGTTCGGACTGAGAGTTATAAGTTCAACCGCTGCACAATCGATGGCAGTGGTGGAATCTACATCTGCAGAACATGAAGAGCCAATGGCATCTATATCTACAGGAGAGTATACATTTTAAAGCCATTCCCCGTGTTTAGTGTACATGCCCGTACAGCGTTTGGAATTCGACAGGAGTAAAGTTACGAACAGACTCCTGGAACATAACTCGTTCGTAAATAGAGGAGTCTCTGTAACTGAAATTAAAAGTATGCAATGCTTAGCAGCATGTATTAGCTTTGAATGTCTGATTTTCCAAAATATGTTTCCACTCATTCACCATCCTCTAAATCTGTTGATTAGAAGACAATTTAAATACAGTTCTTATGACCAAGTGCCTTACCCACCAAGGATGAAAACGCATTACACACATGTGAATGCAGAGAAACTGTGTTTAACATTCCGTTAAAGGTATATTAATCGATTTAGCGTGTGATCAACATCTATTTAAATATGGGCTGAGGTTAAAGTAATTGAAACATGATTAATCTTGGGTGTTTTTTCCAACCCTGGCGGTGTAGCGAACGGCCACTGCTGCCCGATTTCCACCAGCGAGTCTTAGCATCCGTTACGTGGCTGTAATCTTTTAACAAATGGAAAATTTCCATGCAAATTAAACAATGATTTATGACTGTGTCCGGGTATATCTGGTAGTATGAGATACACAAGCACACACACAAGGTTAGTAAACAGGCCTGGTCTGTCCAAAGGAAAAGTCTGTGAAACGGCACCTCAGGCAACTGTGAAATAAATATTTAAGTACGACCTGCAAGTTTTTAGCGAGTTTACACAAATATATCACTTTTAGATGAGTAAAATGAAACAAATCACCGATTGTTAATTATTCTTCCTCGGGCTATGCATCACAGCCTCGAGTGTCGATGTGCGACTTATCAGTGACGAACAAATAAAGCAATAAAATATCTAATTTTCTGTCAGCATTTGCAGATACAATTCCAGCAGGCCACTCAACAGAAATGGGCTGTTGGTTCTATTGATCGTCAGGAAATGGGTGATAATTACACGTCATAGTTTGTGTTCACATTTTTTTCTCCGTTGTCCCCGTACAACCTTCCCCCTCCCGCCACCCATCCTGTATTCGCAACCCCCCCCCCCATCACTTCACTCACTATCCCGACAAATTGTATCCCATTTCATTCGTCGCAATTCCCACGTCAACAACAACCACGTGCCCTTTTCTCTGCCTTCCCGACCGACCCCCCCCCCCCGCAGCTGATTTATCTTCCGCCGCCGTGGGGCGACTGTAAGAGCACGCCCATCTCCTCGGACTTCTTCGAGACGTACAGCATCACAGCGTGTCGCATCGACTGCGAGACGCGATACCTGGTCGAAAATTGCAATTGTCGTATGGTGCACATGCCCGGTGAGCCATGTGTCCGTGCGTCCAGGCCTGCAGAGATGTTAACTACCTCACCTGGTATACAGGAGGTCGTGGGTTCGATCCCGACCCTGACGCATGTTGTATATTTGGAGTTTGCATGTTCTCTTCCCACGGTTGCATGGATTTTTCTCCAGGTCCTCGGGGGTTTCCCTCCACGTTTAGAAACATGCGTTGAGAGTATTTGACTGCTATAAATGTACACATGAGCTATCATTTGTGGCCAAGTCGCTTCTTTAAAAGAGCTATATAGCTTGGTGGGTCTTACCTGGTGAAATAAAAAAAATAAGTAAATAAAATAGTACAGAAAGACAGAGCCGAGGTCACCACAAAAGGCGCACATGGATCGATGGATGAAATGCACCTTACAAGTGTAAATTATCATTGTTATTTACCATTGCCCTACTCCCCTAATGCTCTGTTGTAACCCTGTGCCAAGGCATCCCCCCTTCCCCACCTCTGTCCACTGAGCAGCATGGATTGGGTGGACCTCAGTTTAGTCGCTCAGCAGAGTGCACGTGGTGGGGTAAAGTGTGGGTACTCCCACCTCTACCAAGACGTCTGGCTCGTGTGGAAGAGTAGACCAATATTCCCCGAGATGGGCTCTCTCGAGCTGCCTTGAGTGGAGGCCCATCCACCAGCAGTAGTGTGAGCGAGCAATTTCAGAGCTGCACCTTGACCTTCACAACTTGACCTTCACACCTTAGCTTTGTGTGCATAGCTGACCCATGTAAGTGCTTGCTGACGTCCCACAGGATGCCCGAGCCAAACAGGTTGAACTGTGCGCATCAAATGAACAGATGCTAAACAAACGTGTAATGTGAATTTCTTAGTGTAGGCCCCAGAGCTGCACGTAACACATCGTACCCCTTCCCGCTCAGCGTTGCTGCCGCGTGACATGTGTTCAGATGTGCCATCGCATAATTCCCTTCAATTTAGGACTCTCACTGAGTCCCCCACAGGGACCAAAATGATGATTGATATCTACGCACTCGCACACGCACAACACTCCACTTGCATTACTCAGCCCGCCTCACAAAGGAGAGAAGACGTCTCATCGGCATGCGTCCAGTGGCGAGCGGTGGGCGAATAATATTGGTGGTGAAGATAAACCCGTGGACATAGGGGGAGCGGGGGGAGCGGCCGATGGAGGGGCAGTGAGCTGGCCGTGCGTAGTTTTAAAATGTTTAAAACGAGCGGGAAAGTTTGTTCGCGTTTCTTTTTATTGTATTTATTCACTCGTTAGTCCCAATCCCATCGACCCCCCCTATTGACAAGCTACCGCTACGTCGGTCGATTTCTCTGTTGCTGATCCCCCCCCACCCCACTGCCGTCAGTACTCCAGTGATAAGCCATTCAACCTACTAGAGCTCACTTGTGAAATGTATACCATTTTCAATCAAATTGACAAGTTGCCAGGAAACGCATCGCCCAGCAGTCATCGTGGCGATGCGCAATGCTTCTCAATCGCAGAATAATCATGAGCGAAGGCATGGGGAGCACCATCTTTCCCACCATCAAATACGGATAACAGACTGCAACTTACACAAAGAAACTGTTTAGCTGCGTGAAACAAATAACATTTTTACTTATTCATGCACTGGTCATGCATAATCCATGCCACTGTTTATGAATTATTCATGCACGGTTGTAATATTTCAGTCGCGAGAACCCTTCTTCGTCACAGTTGGGTTTTTGTGTGGGTCATTCACACCTGGAGTTGCTTTCATTTGTAGCCATAGACAGATCAAGTGAGGGGGGGGGGGTAAAATCGGCTGTCCTACTGGTCGTTTTCTCAACTGTTAACACCCACACTTGTGCTGCTTCCTCCATTAAAGGCCATCAAGTTATGTGCCGGTGTAAATTTATTTTTCTTCCATAGAATGTTTGTACCCCCAGGGAAACGAGTATTCGTTCCCACCAGCGAATATTGTTTGTGGCTAGGTTGAGGGTCATTGTTACGAAAAATGAAGCAAGCACAAACTTTCGGAAGGGAAACTAAACATTTATTCCTAGGCGGCACATATATTCGTTTCTGGGGGAACATGTATTTTTTACAGAGGCAATTTTCTTGAAGACCTCAGATTACTCTTCTAATGCCACCCCCTTCATTAATCCCTCGATGCCCGACTCTAAAGGCAGCCTCAGATTTAATAAATGGTAAGACTTTATTTCGAAGTAGTGTATCCATTTTACATGCTCATAGTCATGCCAACTCCAGTTTCGTGAAATTTGACTCGCATAGTAAGTCGAGAGCTGTTTTTGAGCACACAAACCGCAGAACTCTCAAGTGCCACACTTCCGGCGTGACACTCACATATACTTTGTTGCTTTCTCACAATCTCATGGTGATGCAGACAAATCTCACGTTTTTTCTGGAAGGGGGTAAAATTGCTCTCTAATACAAAAGCATATCTCCAATCGTCACATCAGCCACAAAAAAAATGTTTTAAAGTGGAGTCCACAAACACGGTGACAATCCCCACATCTTCTACTCTACCCCTCCGCTACTGGCATCTATTTTATGATTTTCAGCAACAGTACAAAAACAGAGAGAACCGGATGGAACACAGTTATCAAGTGACCGATGCACATATATCATACCATCTTCATCCCCAGATGGGATCTAGAAGGATAGACCCAAGTACCGTTGCACTGTCTGTATACTCGATAGATACGCCACTATCCAGTCCACCATACCAGCAAAAGAAACACTTTCCCAACTTGAGAAAGCTGCACTCTGTGCTGTTCAGTACAGTGAACGTATTGAGATGGCCCGCCTAAGGCTCCTCTTGGATGAGGTGGCCAGTAGCGCTGCTATGTGGGTCACCATGAAAGGGATATTACTACAGAGAGCGAACGTGGGTGGCCGTCCTAAGGGACATTTGGTGGTGCAGGGCTCAGCCCATCAGCCTCCTAGCGCTGTCCATGGTACTGAGCCTGCTAAGGCGAGGCCTCGGTCAATCTGAGTCCATTAATCTCAGGGCGGAGTGCATGTTCATCAAAGACTGTATACACTGACACACACTGACGCACGCTGCACATGACATTGGCAATGCTCAGTCGATACGCTCTGTAATGCCTGTGAAAAATATGGCAGGTAGCGCAGCGCCATTAACAGCTGCAGTCGATACACACGGTTCCCGCGGGCCTAGGTAATACCCACGGAAACAAAATGGGGCCTTCTTGTAAACAAGCTTCATGTCGCTTAATAGAGTTGGCCCGCACAGAGAGATAAATATGTGCTTTGGTGCATAAACAAAGCGTGGCAACAGTGAGCAGCTGATGCATTGATAAATATATTTTAAGTAAAATAAATACATTTTCGTGTTATATTATATAAACATTTAAGTGCATTGTCTCTGTACACAAATACATATAACTCAAAATAATAAATCCATCACAGTACTTCATTATGGGAGTTAACAAGCAATTTGAACCACACAGCTGAAATTACACTGCATTTTATCAGGCAAATACGGGTTAGAATTATATCCAGTGTCATCCTGACCTGCATTGCTTCAATAAAAAGCAATGTACATGCACACACTACACACACGGTGTGTGAATTTTAAATCATGAATATTCCCATTTACATTTTAACCCCTTTTCAATCCCTATTAATTACTTTCACAATTGCTCTTTTTACATGAATAATTATGGGCCTTTAGACTATCTATTCATGGGTTTTCGTTGCAATTTCCACCATAAGATCTCTGGATATAATATACACAACAATGTTTTCACACATGAAAGCTTCAGAGATATTTTTTTAAAACCCATAGGTCATTTTTTTTTCCAATAACCGCTGTTCAACTTAGGAGTTACAATTCCCATCTCCGTTCTGCATGTGCCAGCTCGTGTTTCCGTAAATATGTATTTCTACTTTTTTTTACAGCACATTGAAAAATGTGTCCACGTCAGCTTTCACGGGGCTTAGAACAAAAATAGACAGGTGGTCCCACGGCTTAATTTCTCACCGAATACTTTCAGATCGCTGATAGACTGGAGGTGTCACGTGACTGGTAACCACAGCCATAGCAAGAGATATACCTCAACCAATTGGCGATATGTATGTACAGTATATTGAACTTCTTCCGCACCATATTTTTCAGCTCGCTGACCCAGACAGATCTGGCCCAAATCAGCCCACGGTGGTCTTCTCGTGTAAGGTAGAATCACATTCCTCCAACAACCTTGAGAAAATTCACTCCTCAATTTCACCTCTGATGGACTCTTGAAGAAGATAGGCAAAAGGACATTTGTCATGACATTCCCTCACTTTTCATCAGACATGTTCAAATTCTCCGAGGAACAATATGGGACTGTGTCAGTATCCAGCTGCCTTTTGGCTTTGAGAATAATTTTATCTTATTGGAATGTGGAGACTCATTGATATTGCCTGAGAGTTTGATCTCAGATGCTGGGCAAAACACTGCTGGAACAGTAACACAGTGTGTGCGCTGTTTAACTGGCGTACATGAATCCCAGTTCAAACTGTAAAGACATTATTTTTCGAAGAAATCCAGTGCTCTTTTGTAAACGCTTGACTAAGCATATCTCACGGTTATATCAGTCGGGCGGGTGTTGAATCATAGTAAGGGGTTTAGCTTTTTTTTTCAGACTTATGGTTTTCTTTGACACATGCACACAATATCATAGAACTACAACAATGCCTTTAAGGGAGCCTTGTGCAGATACATTGCAGGAAAAAAATACCACGATTGTGTGGCAGCATTTCAGCGTCATTGTTGTATCATCACCAAGTGTGCCCAAATCTTGCACTTGTCTGAGATATCGACCTGGCCCAGTCCACACAATTGAAGCAACAGAGCTCTAAGCGATTGCTCCAGAGTTTCCCCGGGTTTTGTTGTTGTCAGACAACCTTGGAGCGTAATGCAATAATATACACTTACATGGCGCTGTTGCTACCAGATCGTAATAGCTGTGGCACAAACAAAATGCCCAGAGGCCCGTTGCCAACA